AAGAGTAGGAAGGTAGAAGAAAAGTGCTGGCAGTTTTGAAGGGATAATTTGCATAACTCATACTTGGACTAGCAAGCTCATTTTGATTTTGAACTTTTTATTTTATATAAGGACTTTTAAAAAAAAAGTGGTTTTTTTTTGTATTTTTCCCCCTGAAGAAAGGGTATGCATAAATGTGTATATCTATGAATATAGATATATAATTGTTTATGTATGGTCATGTGCTTGAATATATTTCTCTGAGGCATACTATTGATAAAATCATGTAGCAAATATTATTGTCATTTGGGCTATTTCTTCTTTCCCCAAATGCCAGTTAAAGCTATAACTATATTGACTAATAGAATTTAAATGTATATTTCAAATTGTTGCAGATGAGTTCTTAGGTTTTATTTCAACTTGCAGGTTTCTTTACAGACTTTAATAATCTTTTATGCAAATGTGAATTTCTTAAAAACATTATATTTTCGACCAATTCCCAAATCCAATGAATGGACAAACATGGAACTTTCCATAAATGAGCTACTCTTGCAGTTTCTCCCCCATTTTTCCTTTTAAACAGGTGAGAAACCACATAGATGTCACTTGTGTCCATTTGCATCTGCTTATGAGCGTCATCTGGAAGCCCACATGCGTTCCCATACCGGAGAAAAACCATACAAATGTGAATTATGTTCCTTCCGCTGCAGTGATCGAAGTAACCTGTCTCATCATCGAAGGCGCAAGCATAAAATGGTACCAATTAAAGGTACTAGGTCTTCCTTAAGCAGCAAGAAAATGTGGGGGGTTTTACAGAAGAAAACAAGCAATCTGGGGTATAGCAGAAGAGCACTAATCAACTTAAGTCCACCTTCCATGGTGGTTCAGAAACCAGACTACCTTAATGATTTTACCCATGAAATCCCAAGTATCCAGACTGACTCCTATGAAAGTATAGCAAAAACAACACCAACTGGTGGCTTACCGAGGGATCCCCAAGAACTCATGGTTGACAACCCTTTAAATCAGCTCTCAACTCTAGCAGGACAGTTGTCCAGTTTGCCACCTGAAAACCCAAACCCTGCATCCCCTGATGTCGTTCCCTGCCCAGATGAAAAGCCTTTCATGATTCAGCAGCCCTCTGCCCAAGCGGTGGTTTCTGCTGTATCAGCAAGTATTCCTCAGAGCTCCTCTCCCACAAGCCCTGAACCTCGGCCATCACATAGTCAGAGGAACTATAGTCCAGTGGCAGGTCCAAGCAGTGAACCAAGTGCCCACACTAGTACTCCCAGCATAGGAAACAGCCAGCCAAGCACTCCAGCCCCAACCCTGCCGGTCCAGGATCCTCAGCTTCTGCACCACTGCCAGCACTGTGACATGTACTTTGCAGACAATATCCTTTACACTATTCACATGGGGTGTCATGGGTATGAAAATCCTTTCCAGTGTAATATATGTGGATGCAAATGTAAAAACAAGTATGATTTCGCCTGTCATTTTGCAAGAGGGCAACATAACCAACACTGAAAACAATCACTATGTTTTACTTGGTTTGGCCTTCTGGGGGTTGTAGTTTTTTTTTTTTTTTTTTTGTTATCCCTAATGAGGTGTCTGCTAATTTAAAGTTTATGCATTATATTTATAGAATATAAATTTGACAGTGGAAAATTTTTTTCATAAAAGTTTAGTCAGGGTCATTTATGTATTAGAATAGTTATTGATATCTGTTTTTCCCTTTCATTTATACATGTGAGAATTGGAGTACAATCATAATTTTAACAGGTGTTCTTTTACATTTCCCACATTTATGGTCCATAGAGACTTGAAGGCTTATCCCATACTCTTGCTATTTCTGTATATACAGTATAGCCAGATGTTACTTCTGCCATATTTCAAAATGGTAGAGTAAATTATTTTCTCTTACAAAATCTGTTACAACCTATTTCAGTGTTTGTAGAGAAATTGGCCTTTAAAATTATTCTTAATTAAAGTACTATTTAGTTCACATATCTTAAGTTGAATTAGTAGTTTGATTTCAACTGATAATAGTAAACCTTTTTTTTTCTACAAGGGAAAATGTAAAACAATTATTTTAAAATTAAAGTTATAAAAATAGGTCAAAGTTCTGAAAAGAAGTAAAACTCAAGATTTTAAATTGAAAATTGTGTTTAATATTTAAAATAACCTGTTTATTTCATGTCTACTTTAAACATGTCAGTTTTCCATTGGATTTTTTTCTAATAGTTGGCAGTTTGTTTTTAAAAACCACTAGATGCCATTTTCTTTTCATTTTGAACTTCTCATTTAAATTCTTCCTTCTGATGTTTAGTGTCAGGTGAAGTTGGTATGGTGAGAATCTGTTTCTTCCTATTCCTTTGATGACCAAAGAGGTACAGTGGAAGTCATTCATCTTATTATTAAGATGCAGTCCTTCAAAAAAATCTCCAAAGTTTCCTTTTCCTGCCTTCTATCCATTTATTGCCCATAATATCCAAGAAAAGGTGGGTATAGAAACACATGGGGAAATGTGATAGTAAAGTAATACTTAATAAAAATAAGAATTTGTATCCAGAAGAGATCCTGGTCTTCTCTTCAGAGTTGGCCATTTAAAATATTTTCTGTGAATTCAAACTGTAATATTTACTTGCAGTTTTACCAGTCTTCATGTACAGTGACAATACCATATGGAAACTGATTGAATTGTCCCCTTAATAGAAAAGGATAAAGGTGTAAAAATGGATATAAAATTCATTTAAACATGCCATTTAATTTATTTATACAAGTAAGGCTTGTTAAATAGAGTAATTCATTTTGAACAGGAGGCTATTGTTTTTATATTGTGTAATAACTAGCTTACTCCAAAGAGAGTTTGGTCAAACAATAAAATATATTGTTACTAACTTGGTTTCTGTGTATTTTGCAAAAAATTTATTTTTAACTTGGTTCATATCTTGAAAATAAACATAATTGGATTCTTAAAGAAAATATGCTATTAAGCATTTGTTAAACAAAAAAGCATCCTTACTCTTATAATAAATAAAAGGGAAATATTGATAGTATCTGCTAAGCCCCAAGTGCCAAGTTAAAAGAGCCCTCTGCCTCCCTGCAGTGCTTGAAAGCCATTAGAATGAGTGCTTGTGGTTGAGTAGCCAATCTAGGCTAATCTCCACTGCCTTGTTTAAAGCACAGCTTCAAGGACACTTTCTCCAAACTGGAACTCTCTTGCTGTCAAATCTTGTGACCTTAAGTTCTGATTTCACTCCTGCTTGAATCACCACTGCTTAGATCAGTTTTAGTGCAGTTTCCAAATGTGTAACTTGGCTTTAGTATTTATCATTTGTCAGAAAGAAACAAGTTGTCATTTGGAAACTTTTGCAATTTTATTTGTTTTCTATGTTATTCTTCAAATAAAAGCAATAGCCCAAAACAGAAAACAGAAATTTTCATTAAACAAAGAGGGGTAACTCTTCTGAAAACAAGCTTATTAATTGTAGATTATGGGCCAAATAGTGACAAATACATTTTTTTCTAACAACTAAAGATGGATGTTTTAAAGGTACATTTTAATTTAAATGGAAAATATTTTTCATAATTACAAACTAGAATGTAAAATTATAATTTTCCTACCACTTAAAAGAGCACAGTTGGTATTCCAAAGGTGTTGATGCTTCAAAGCTACAATTCTTTCTAAATGCACTAAAATTTTTGAAGCAAATCTACCTTAGAAACTTTTTTGGAATTGTACTTTTTAAAAGATTTAGTATTTTATTTAAACTTCCTGAGTTGAATTGTGTATTTGGAAAGATGTTAGAATCTTCCCTTAAATGTTCATTTCATTTTATTTTTAATCAAATATTTTATAGAAATGAGTTAGGAAGAGTTTAACATGCACTATTTATAGTACTTTGCCATTAACAGGCAATGTTCTGAAACTAAATTTATTTTTGTTCAGTGAACATGAGTTTAGATCTTTAAAGTTTGTAGATAATTTATCTCCACTAATATTTTTTTAAGAAACTGTGAAGAGATTAACAGGGAATAATTTTATTTCAGATTTTACTAATGTAGTATGTAGCTGCAACTTCTTGAAAATCAAGTAAAGGCTAGCTAGACTTTTACTTTGAAAAAACTCCATTCAGTATTTTTTGTGCTGTTTCGTTTTAGAAAAAAATATTTGCCCTTCATCTGCAGAATTGATTGACAAATGGAATATTACTAAAAATAAAGAGAGAGAAACCTAATTTTAAGTTCTACAAAATTATTTATCAAATGAGCGTGTTGTTAAAATTTTTTTAATTCCCTGCTAAAGACTTTTTCTTTAATCTTCGAGGGTATATACTTTCTACAACTTGTTTTTGTTAATATGTACTTTGATGTAAAGAACATATTTTGTATGCAAAGCATAAATCTTGCATTATAGTTGTAAAATACATTATATTCTTTAGGAATCCAGGAAACAGTTTAATGCTGAAATAATTATATCTAGTATGTAGTTTAAATGGTGAATGAAGCTTTGCTTTTGTAATATATGAATAAAAAAATAACACTTTCTAATGACCTTGATTTTTCTTTTTTGAAAACTAGGAATAAATTAGTTTTTTAGTAATTTTCTGGTATGTAAAATGTTAAGTTAATAAAAGAAAAAGATTTTATGGGTACTCTGGTTTGAATTTCTAGAATGCCTTACCATGAAAAGATCTATCACCAAGTTAAAAACAAAAATAGCCCCACATATGTGCAATTGCCTCCATCCTAGCTTACCCTCTTTATTCAAGATCCATTTAACCTGACTCCTATGCCCTAAGGGTTCTGGCACATCAATGAGGAGGGCCACCTCAGATGCTTAATTATCCATGTCATACCTGATAAATGACTGAAGTGATTTCTGTTATGACTAATGGGTCCTTTAGAATAGACTGTTTTCTTTGAAAGAATGGTCTTTAGCAGGTCACATTATTGGCCTAGAAAACACCCACTAATACAAAATTACTTATCTGCAAAAGCTCGTCAAAATCAAACAGTTGGAAATTCTGAAATTTTAATGTTGCTTTGAAAAATACTTCTGTACAATATTATGTTTCTCATTACAAAAAAAAGAAGTGACATCTGATAGGTCAGTGGTTGGTTGAAAGCATAGATATTTGTTTCCTTGTCTTAGGTCTTCCAGAAATTCTGCTTTGAGCTTATTAAGTTCTTCTGCTAGAAGCTTCAAGTTGTTAGGAAGTACTTGTTCATCTAAAATAAAAAAGATTCTCAAATTATTTCTGCAAATCTAGGCTGAAAATTAATTTGATTATATCACACAAAGGATTCTTCTAAGTTCTCTATCCTATTCAATACAGTAGGTGCTAGACATTCAGGCATTATTACTGAGAATCTGAAGTTCAACTTGACCATTAGCTTTATTAAGATTTAATTCATATACCATAAATTTATCCACTTAACTGTATAATACAGTGCTTTTTCATATAGTCATATAATACAACCATCACCAAAGTTGATTTTAGAACATTTTCATAATCTAAAAACCCTCTACCCTTTGGCTATCACTCTCCTAACTTCCCTTTTTCCTACCCCTTTCTTAATCCCTAATTGTCTCAAAAGTTCCTTGTTCTGGACATTTCGTATGACTAGAATCATATAATAAATGTTTATGATTATTTCACTTTGCATGTTTTCTCATGTTGTATTCTATATCAATACTCCATTCCTTGGCTGAATAATATCCCATTGTGTGGACAGACCACATTTTGTTTATTCATTTATCAGCAGATGGACGTTTGGATTGTTTCCATCTTTTGGCTATCATGAATAATGCTGGTATAAACATTCATGTACAAGTTCTGGTGTGAGCATCTATTTTCATTTCTCTTGAGAATATAGACCTTGAGCAGAATTGCTGGGCCACATGGTAACTACATTTGAGGGAACCGTTGGGCTGTTTTCCAGAGTAGCTGCATCATTTGACATTCCCAGCAGTAGGGCATGAGGGTTCAGATTTCTCCACATCACCAATGTCACCTAGGCTTGAAGTGGTGTCTCCTTATGGTTTTGATTTGTATTTCCTTGATGACTAAGTGATGTCAAATGTATTTTCATGTGGTTATTGACCATTTATATACTTTCATTAGAGAAATGTCTATTAGGATCCTTTGTCCCTTTAACAAATTGAGTTATTTACTGAGTTATAAGAGTTTTTTCTTTATATATGGATATATACAAGTTCCTTACAAGCTATAAGTTTGCAAATATTTTCTCACCTGTCAGTTGATAGAGGAACTGAATTTTCAATTTTATTTAAACACAGATTTAGAAACTAGACTAACTACCTTGGATCCCCTTAAGAGTTTTTTTATAGGTGGGAAATAGTTAAGACAGATTTAGGCATAAGATAGAATAGAAGAAAGGCAACGGTTAAGAGAGAACTCCTGGAACTACTTTTTATTATTTTCTAATTATGCTCCCGTTTCTATTCTGGACCTTTGCTATAAATTCTGGATCGTAACCCATTAGTGGTGTATGGCACTGTTTTTCTAAAATGAAATTAAAACAGCAGAATTCGTTATACATGTGAGGGTATTTTGTGAAACTTGTAGACATGCCTGAGTTTATGTACCATGTTACATACTGGTTTACAATGTAAGAGCTAATTAAGTATGGATTTTTTTAAAAGTTTGAGAAACACAACATGGTTAGTATGTTTTTTCCTTTCCCAATGTTCTAATCTTTTGTTAGGGTACTAGTAAATGCTGGTGATGCAGCTGTTCAGTCTTGGGAAAGTTACTTGATCCACTGTGAACCTGCATTTGCCCCTTGTAAAAGCACACCTGCCTTACAGATGTAAAGATTAGAGAGTGTAAGGCACTTAGCTTATAAGGAGAACTAAAGAAATGCTAGCTGCTGTTGTTTTTTTTTTTCTGCAAGTAAAAATTTATAGTTAAATATTCCAAACCTGAAGGAACTACATATTTCATCTATTAGTTAAATTCCGATTGTACATCAATCTTGCTCAGAATTCCATGAAAATCTTACACCTATCTGGCCCTTGCCTACCTCTCCCCTGCCTTCCTGTGTCACTTCAGGCTCAATGGCTTCTTTCCTGTTCTAGAACATTTCAGATGGCTTTACATCTGGACTTAGGCACATCATATGTCCACTGCCTGGAACCCTCAGGTCTCTTGCCTCGCTTGTTCTTCTCATGACTCACATCTGGGTTTAAATGTTATGTCTAAGAAGCCTTTCTGATTACCTTTTTAAGAATAAACCCATCACTCAACATTGCCTTGGCCTACTTTTTCTTGAAAGCACTGACATATATTTCACATCATTCCTTTTTGTCTCCTCACTAGAATGTCCTGCTTCTTGCTTACTACCCTTATTGGTTGCAATGTGTCACCAAATTGCAATTTTAAAATAAGCAGGATGTGAAGTTTGGAACCTTAGAAACCACCTGAGTGTCAGGAAATGGCCACAACAGTAGTCAATATCACATGAATTATAGCACACAACAGTCACAAGTCAACTACATCAACTACAGCCCCCTACTGTCAACAGACCTTTTGCTTCCTTCATTGTCTGAGAGACAATTCTTCGGAGTGTCTGATCAGCTTTATGAAGAACATTAGTTGAACAAATAATTCTGTCCATTTCCTATGTAAATACAGACATTATTATCATTATTGTTACTGGAATAGCTAGTTAGTTTATCAAATAAATGGCTAAATGTAGGTGACCCATTTGATGAGATTAAATGAAAAGTAAAGTGGCTTTCCTGTTTGTTAATTTTCCTTAGGAGAGAGTCTAAAGGAATGATATCCACTTGCTGGAGAGTGTCTGCTGACTGGCTCTCCAGGGAAAAAAGTAATCCCCCAAACCTCTCTGTAGTGTTTGCTTATTTTTGTGGTGTAAATTTACTATCCTTGTCCATTTCAAGCTACCAATATAATGTCAAAAGGCTCCAGTGTTTCTGAAGATGAAGTTTTGGCCAGATGGCACAAGCCACCTAAGGTCACCACTACATCCAGGTGTCAGGTGCTGAATATTGGCAAGACGCCAAGCCATTGACAAAGCTTCTTTACATCTGACTTAAAGCTCAAAAAGATCTGAAAAGTTTTCCTTCTCATTTACACTGAATTCCTACTGGAAGACTTACCTTTTGTTCCATATTGTCCTCTATATTGTTTACTGGATTTTCCAAAGCAGTAAGCAATAATAAATCAGTCACCTCCAGGCTACAGAGAAAGTGGAATAAAATACAATAATTCCTTATGGTGAACATTTCTGTTCTTAAAGACCAAGTATTTATTAATACTGAATTGAATTCTAAAGGAGTAAAACTGCTACAACCCAAGATCATTAGTAAAAAGGGGAAGAACTCAACTGATTTGGAAGTATCTTCCATTTGCAAAATCCAAATACAAACAATTATAAGTCCAAACCTCCCTCGTTTACAAAATATTAAATTAATTAAAATATTAATTTCCTAAGACTCATCAGTAAGCTTTGAAAAGTTATCCCCTATCTTCCCCTATTAAATGTTGGGCTATATAGGCTATCATATAGCCTATATAGCCCATCATTTAGTCTTTAGTCTCTGATGAAAGAAGGTCTGTCTTTTGCTTATTTACTGGATAAGGATTAGCAAAGTTCCTCACTGGTCAAGGGTCCAGAGAGGACTGAGGTAGAATTCATTCATTCACTTAAATATTTATTGAGCTTCTCATATGAAAAATATTGTACAACTGCTTATGTAGAACTATGTGCTGATTTGGGGTGTAAAAAGATCCCTAACCCCACCAAGCCTGTAATATAATGGAGGGAAACATCAATTAATTAAGCAAAAATAATTTTGAACAGTAATGGATAGGTGAGTGAAGACAATAAATAAGGTGATAATGGTAAGAGAGTGACTCCTTCACCCTAGTCAGACAAGGCAGTCAGCTTAAATATGTGGGAAACGCAGCGGGGGAGCAAGTACAGAGGCCACAGGAAAAGACCAGTTTAGTTTAAAAGTAGCAAGTGGAGAGGGGAAGTGGTAGAATATGAAGCTGGAGAGTCAGGGCTATTAGAACATGTAAGTAAGGGTCAGGAGTTTGAATTTTACTCAGAGTACATGGAGGACTGAAATGGTAAGCCAGTGAGATCATCATGTTGAGTCTCAACCTCACGATGATTTTTCTCACAGTAGGAATTCAGGTTCTAAAGTGAGACTGCAGGGGGCTTGGCCACTCAACTACCTGGGTATGTCACTTCCTGGGCCTGTTATCCTATGGAAAAAAAATAGGAATTATAGTTTCCCCTCTTAAAGTGTTATTATAAAGATCAAATGAGGGAGCTGGAGTTGTAGCTCAGTGGAAGAGCACTTGCCTAGCATGTGTGAAGCACTGGGTTCGATTCTCAGTACCACATATAAATAAATAAATTAAAGGTCCATCGACAACTAAAAAATATTTTTAAAAAAGATTGAATGAGACCATACATATAAAAGTCCAGAACATGCCCAATACGTAGAATGTGATCAATAACTCTTATTATTTACTTTGTTGAAGTCTGGAAAAGGTACCTTTATCAGGTCATTTTTTGACTTCAATACAGGACCACCAGACTCCACACTTCCCCTTCGACAGTTACCCTGTGACTATGTGGATATAGACATAGGTGACAGGTTCTTAAGACCTGGGACCAAACTGCTCTTACGCACAATAGTCCTCCAGAGCTACGTAAGGATCAGCCAAACCGAGATAGGTAAAATATTTACTAAGCACAGTCATTGGCACAGGGGGCACCAAGGAAAGATGGCTTTGAGTAGCATACCTGCTCTCCAAAGAACATGCTGGACTCTGAATTGTGAGGCTGTTGTGTTCCCAAGCATTTTTCTGAGGGTTGGGCTTTTCTATCTTTTCCCCCATTGCATAAATGGTCTCAGGAGGCAGGGCTCGTAATCTCTGGCCATTCCTCTGCAAGCAGGTCTCAAGGGGACAATCTAAAAAGAGCTGGCAAAAGCCTAATGAATCTGAAAACAGTTAAAATCATCAAGTTACTACTGGTCTATTATCTTTCCAAAATGTGAAGTTAACATATATTAGACAAATTATCCCAGCTGAAGCAGGAAAAACTCCATCTGTAATACTGAACACCTCACTTTTAAAATTAAATCTGTATAAACCTCCTATCCAATTAAATTCTTACTGAAGACAACAGTGATTGATATATGAATAACTGTTTCCATGTGTAAGAAAAAATGTTTTAATTACATTTCCGAGCCAGCTGGAAGACTTCGTATCTCATACTTTGATAATAAAAGTTGTCATCTAAAACCAAAAATAAAGGTCTAGAAACAGCAGTTTTTGCTAAGAGATAGCAATATGGGGCCTCGAGTGCTGAAGAAAATATCAGTTCTTGATCCTTTAGGCAAGTTATAAAATTTTCCCATATGGCTTCAGTCCTGTTGGGTGGGGCAGACATCTGGCACCCGCTAATGACAGCAGTCAAGAAGCATTCCAGGTACTTCAACAGTTCCCGTCGAAGCATTTTCCATTGGGATGGCTGTAAAAGATGGAAAAATTACAATTTACATTAGGCTTTGGCCAACAGGGTGGTCATCTGTCCCAACTGCCACCCTGCCTTATATGAAAATGTCAGCTTACATTGCTAAACCATCTGGAGTTCCCTACAGACACCTCCTTTCTCAGGCTTCTGTCTTCATATACACTGCTCCCTCTGACTGAAAATTCTTATTTAATGCTGGTAGTGCCGAGAGAAGCCTCCTTCAGACTCAGCCTCGCTGAAGGCAACTCAGCTTCTCCCTTGCCTACTGACACACCCCGTTTTGTACATATTATGTGTCCACTCTAGTTATAAACACTGGGCTATTTAACTGTTTGCACATCTCTATCTCTCTGCCAGATCACTAGTTCACTGTATACCATCCTCCAACTGACAGTCTGGCACCTATCTGGTGTTCCCAAAATGTATATTCAATGAATGAATGAGTGAGTGAATCAATGAGAGAATGAAAAGCTCTCATTTAGAAAGGAGGAGCTAAATAAAACATCCTGCCAAATTAAGAGTTGGCTAAGATATGACAGTGCTGATTTGCCCCTGAAATGAGGAAGATTATGGACAGCGAGATGGTCAGCTGAAAGGTCTCCAGGTCAGGATAAAAAGTCCTCAGGCTAACAACTCGGCTGGTCGGGGGCTAGAAAATATGCAGGAAGCAGACTGATGGGAAGAAAATAAGCAATTTGAGAATACAAGCAATCGTGTGTTGGTCCAGGGCTGTGAGGAGCACTGACATATTCCTGAAGTCAAGGATGAAGGGAGAATGCCAGGACAGGTCAGGTCCCTGCCTTACCACCTCACTGAGATTACACCGTGCGCAGGTGCATCAGCTAAACCACTAAGCAGGAAACACGAATCACTTCCTAAAAAGTGAGATTTTCTAATCATGGTGACCAAATGAGTCCCAGAACCTCTGTCTAAAGACAAAGAGTGGGAAAAATATATAGTAATGAACACGAGGCAAAGGCCAGCAAATACAACACTCCTACCAACAATTTTCTACTTTCTTCCAACTAAATCCTGTGCTACCCCAACACTGTATCTATCTCCCAGTTAATCAAGAATGAAGAAGTAGATAAGCTTTCCTGGAGAGGTGGAGAACTTGTCCACATGCCAAAAGAACTATATTTTCACAAATATACTTATTGAGCAGAACCATGTCATGTTTGCATTTGATTTATGTGAATTCATCTACACTCAAACACACAGCAACAAAAATTACAATTTAAAAATTTCAGAATATTTCAAGGGGTATTTGCTCTAGAGTGAGTAAATTGCAGACAGGCCTTACTCTTCCCCCAGTGGCCTCTTTCCATGTGCTTCTCCAAGAGGGTACATCTCAGTGTGCTGACTTTAAGTTGACGGATTAAAGTCAAGTAAATGCTTGGAACATACAAGCTGGTTCCCAAATACAAGCCCATTAAATCATCCAGTGGTCAACTAGGACACAGTCATCTTTTCCAATTCTGGTGGAGCCAGATTTTCCCTGACAGGAATGAAGATAAGCCTGAGAGGCCAGGCCCTTCATTTGGACAGCCTCTTTCTTTCTGGGAGGGACTCTAGCAAACGTTGTTCAAAAAAAAATTTTTTTAAGGGAATAAAATTCCCTTTACACCAAATGACAGAGTTCAAGCTCCACAGACGATCTGGTGTTAAACTGGCTACCTTGGACTCTTGAGAGATTCCTATCTTGGCCCAAGGAGAAACTTCCCGTGGGTCTGGTGGTGCTCACCCATAATCCCAGCTACTCGGGAGGCTGAGGCAGGAGGACCACAAGTTCAAAGCCAACCTCAGCAATTTAGCCAGGCTCTAATCAACTTATTGAAGATTCTGTCTCAAAAAAAAAAAAAAAAAGACTGGGGGGAGGGGGGGATATAGCTCTATGGTAAAGCGCCCCTAGGTTCAACCCCCAGTACAAAAAAAAAAAAAAAAAAAAACCCAGAAAACTAGAAAAGAAAATTACTTCTGTCTACAAGGAATTTCTATCCTGTACACTGAACTCAGAACTTAACTCTGCGGTAAGATTCCAGTGTGGGACGCGATGGTGCAGGTCTATAGGTTACTCTGGAGGTGGAGGCATGAGGTTCGCTTCAGCCTAGAAGTAAGAGGCCAGCCTGGGCAAAATAGCGAGACCTCGTCTCAAATCAAAAACAAAAATCAAAAGGCTCCACTGCATAGAATATGCAATCCATAAATGCACCAAACGCACACGTAAACCTCCATAATGCATCATTCTAAAAGTCTTATCCAAGGCCCCCTCGTTCACGGGCTGCAACGTTAACCGTGCCCACTGTCCTGGAACTCGGTGTCCCCTCCCCGGCAGGGCTCCATCTCCCACACAGCGGGCGCTCGCTACCGTCCACACGGCACACGTCCGCGTGCACCCGGCGCTGCGTGCCCGCGCTCGGCGCCCTCAGCCCGCCCCGTGCTGACCGGCGGCCGCGCGCCCTCGGAATCCAGGGAGGCGTCTGGGAGGACGTCGTCGTAGGAGAGGACGCCCACGGTCCAGCCTCGCTCCTGCCGCAGCCGGCGGCCCAGGGCGCGCGCGAAGGTCGATTTTCCCGCTGCAGGCAGGCCGCACAGCACGCAAAGGCCTCGCTCCCTCGGCCCTGCGCTACCGGCAGCCTGGGCGCCCGCCGCGGTCTCCATGCTGTCCGCGGCCGGTGGTGGCACCGGAGTCCCCCAGTTCGCCCAGCGCGCACGCGCCGCGCTCCCGCTGCCCTGCTGCGCCCCCTGGCGCCGCGGCGAAGGAATGGGCGAGGCTTCGAGTCCAGGAGGGATACCCGGTGCAGGTGTTCCCACGGCGCCCTTAGGGTCACGCGGCCAGCCTTCTAGCCGCGGAGTCCACGGCGCTGCGTCTCCTTCTCCCCGACATTGCTAATGGGTCCCAGGACTGGGTTAGTCTCCCTACAGAATCATTCTCCCTTCCAGAAACGAAAGCCATTAGGACTTGTGCCTCGGTTTTGTTTCCTGCCCAGGAAAAACTCAAAAGAGACTCTGGGCATTTTTATCCAGCAGGCTTTAAAAGGTAAATTCCCGGAGACCAAAGAAGAGGAAGCGAAGCGAGGACCGGGCTCCGCTGCCCTTGCTAGAGGTGAACCGGGCAAGAGCAAAGTAATATCAGTTATGGCGCCGGAGCGCCACCTGTTGGCGACAAGGGTGAGGACATGCGGGCTGGAAAGGAAATCCTTGGACCTCTTCTGCGGTGCAGGACGCAGGGTTGGGGAGCTTGTTAGCGTTAAGTATGGTGGAGAGAGAGAAAAAACAAGAAATGTTAATGTGGGAATACTGTGTAGGGCAAAAGGAATTCAGATGCTACTTTTTCATCGTATTTTTCGGAGATGATTACTTTCTACTCATGACGGTTATATTCAAAATATGAACACGTGAGGATACAATCAATGTTTACTGGGCTGAAATACAGCCAGTAACCTGATATGCTTTTAGAGCACATGCAATAAATCGTCTCCTTTTCATTCGGATTGCAAATGAACAGTATTGCAGTATTGAGTTACTCCCCATCTCATGATTTTTTTTTTTTTTTGAGGGGGCTGGATACTAGATGCCCATTTCTTCTATTTTTTATTTTGAGACAGAGTCTTGCTAAGTTGCTGAGGCTGACCTGGAATTTGGAATCCTCCTACCTCTGCCTCCCCAGTCGCTGAGGTTACAGGCATGTGCCACCACTGTGCCTGGCATTTCATGGCATTTTATCATTATTGGTTCAATACAAGGTCCCGGCTCATTAATTTACCATTCGCTTTTATCCCTTCATTCTCCACACTAACACTTGTTTCTCACCTTTCCTAAAGACAGACATTTATTTTTCTTTATAACATGATTACTTTTGTTTTGGTTATCTCGTTTTTAAATTTTTTTTTTTAGTTGTAGATGGGCACAATGCATTTATTTATTTATTTGTTTTTGTGTGGTGTTGAGGATTGAACCCAGTGCTATGCAAGCATCACACGTGCTAGGCAAGCACTCTAACACTGAACTACACCCCCAGCCCTGTTTTGATTATAGCTTAAAATAAATAGACTTTTAAGAGCAATTTAAGATTCACTGCAAAATTAAGCAGAATGTACAGAGTTCTCATGCACCCCTTTCCCATCCCCCATACAGCCTCCTCCACTATCAGTATCACTCACCAGAATGATACCTTTTCTCCAATTGATGAAACTACATTGAGTATTGTCACACAAAATTCTGTTGTTTACATTGAAGTTCACTTTTGGAGCTATACATTCTGTAGGTTTTGAAAAAATATGATAATATGTAGTTAACATGATAGTGTCATACAGAAGAGTTTAACAGCCCCCCAAATCCTCCACACGCCATCTATTCATTCCTACTTCTCCTCTAATACCTGGCACCACTTAGATTAGAATCATAAAGTCTTTTTAGATTTTTTTCTTTCACTAGTAATATGCATTTAAAGTTTCCCCATCTTTCCATGGCTTGATAGCTTATTTCTTTTTTGGCACTAAACAGTATCCCAATGTCCATAGTTCATTTTTCCATTTACCTGCTGATGGACATCTTGGTTGCTTCCAAGTTTTAGCAGTTATCACCCATGTGCAGATTTTTCTATAAACACAGGTTTTCAATTCATTTGGGTAAATGCCAGAAGCTGGGTTATATGGTAAGAGGATTTTTAGTTTTACAACTGTCTTCCAGAGTGGCTGTGTGGTTGTGCATTTCCACCAGCCAAGAGTGAGACTTCCTGTGCTCTACATCCTCACCAGCATATGGCATTATCAGTGTTTTGTATTTTTTCCATTCTAATAAGCATGAAGTGACATCTCATTACCCTATTAATTTCAAATTCCTTGGTGACCTAGGATGATGTGCACCTTCTCACATACTTATTTGCCATCTGTATATTTTCCTAGTTGAAGTGTCTGTTTAGATCTTCTTGCCCATTTTTAAATTGGGGTGTTTGTTTTCTTATTGTTGAATTTTAAGAGTTTTTTGTGTATTTTAGATAACAATCCTTTATCAGAGGTCTTTTGTAAATAATTTCTCTCTGCCTGTGGGTTGTCCTTTCATTCTCTTGACTGTCTTTGGCAGAGCAGGACTTTTAATTTTTGCTGAGAGCCACAGCCAAGTAGGAATGACGCATGACATTTTGGTTTGAAAGGTGACCCTGCTCCAGGTTTAGGGTGGATCCTGCTAGGAATAGGGCGGCTCCAGGATTAGGGCGGATCCTGATCCTGCTGCCTCAAGCGCCCACTCCTTCTGAGTTCCCGTTGAGTTCTCGTGGGGTTCTGAGAGTATTGGTATGCAGAGCCCGGTGGAGGGAGTGGATTTTCCCAGAACGTTCGTGTAGAGTGCCGGCGAGAGTTCGGGAATAAAGAGTTGCTGTTTGAATCTACAAGGCTTTTGTGGTGGCTGGGTTATTTTGTGCCCAGCCAGACTGCGGCAAATTTTAATGAAGTCCAGTTTACCAATTGGGTCTTCATGAATTACTCCTTTGACATTAAATCTAAAAAGTCATCATGAAACCTAGTCTTCTTAAATTTCTCCCATATTATCTTCTAGGAATTTTATGGGTTTCGTGTTTTACATTTTGATCCATCTGAGTTAATTTTTGTGGAGGACGTAAACACTACGTTTCATGTTTTAAAACACTGGAGTCCAGTTGTTTCAGCCTCAAGTTTTCTGGCAAAGGAGCTAAGGAACTGCAACAAAGATCAGTTTGATTACATTTCTATGGGTCTGGTTCTCACTGGTCTAGTTGTCTGCCAGCTTCCCCATACCACCTGTCTTGATGACTGTAGCTGTGTGTAAGCCTTGGGGTGAGATAGTGTCAGTTTTCCATTCTCATTCTTCTCTTTCAATATCGTGTTGGCTATTCTAGATCTTTGCCTCTACATAAACTCTAAAATCCGTTTGTTATTGTTCACAAAACAATTTGCTGAGATAGATTGGGATTGCAGTGAATCTATGGATCAAATTGGGAAGAATTTCCACCATTAAGCATGATATAAGCTATAGGTTTTTTGCAGATATTTATCAAGGTGAGAAAGTGCCCCTGTGTTCCTAGTTTGTTGCAAGTGGTTTTTAAAATATGGCTGTCGATTTTGTAAAATGTTCTTTCTGTATTTATTAATGTGATCATATGATTTTTTTTCCTTCTTTAGTCTGTTGATATGATGAATTTCATCGATTTTTTAAAAATGTTGAACCAGCTTTGTATAGCTGGAATAGATTCCACTTCATTGTGTGTATAATTCTTTTTATATATTATTGTATTAAATTTGCTGATATGTTGTTAAATTAGCAGGTTACACACATGGTAACATTGTATTACTACTGGAGGGTGTTGAGGTGGACTGAGGTAGGTAGATTAGGATCCAAGAAATGGGGCCAGGGGATGTGGACTTTTGCCCTGCTCTGCACTCCCTTCCTTCTGTAGTTCCAGGTTGACCACTTTGTCCTACTAGACAAACTACTTGTGGCTGTAAGTGGCAAGCCAGGCTTGTTCTGTGTGTGTGAACTGTGAGCATTGAGCACTAAGTAGACTGGACTGACATTGCCTCTCTGGGCTGCCGACGTGTGTATCCTTTTGCGTGACCTTCCAAGATGTCAGTCAGTTTGTTAACAGCAAGACATTCGAAGCTAGACTCAACCCCCTGAAACATGACCCTTGCCTCCTTTGAATGGCTTCTCCCCAATAGACCGCAGGTTCCAGGCATGCTCCCTCTCATTCTTGCCTGCCTTGCCTCCTTTATGGGAGCTGGGTCAGAGGGACTGTCACAGAACCCAAAAAGAAAGGTATTTGTTTTGGGGGTGATTATTTCGTGCCAGCCCAGTTCTCCTGGAGTGACTGTGACCGGCTTAGTCGCGTGCAGCAACAGCTGTATTTTACGCTTCTCTCATCCCAGCTTGGGACCCCCACAAGTCATCTTTCCACAGTACACCTTCAGTGGGTGCCATCTGTGGCCTGTTTGTTTCTGCACTCAATGGGGTCAGGCTGGGTACTTGGTACAGACAAGGGTGAGAAGTTAGTGATGTGGGAAAAATCCTCCTGAACCATGTATAGACTGTCATCCCCACCACACCTTGTGGGCAGAGATCCCAGGCCAGCACCTATCCTAGTTCCCAGGGTTCTGAGTGCTAAAAGAAAATCTTCTCTTTCAGAAGATGCCGCAGTCTGGCTGGGCACAAAATAACTGAGCCGCCACACAGCCTTGTAGGTTCAAAACAGGAACTCCTTTATTCTCCGCACTCCCGCGAACGCCATGCACGCGGCCTTCTCCCGGGACACACCACACACCAACCGGAAATCCCTCCCCCGGGCTGCGTGCACTCCCTCTGGAAACCCCATCCTATTACCGGACAGTAAAGTCTGATATACAATTGAATCAATCCAGCATCATCTTAATGGCTCGCCTCTCAACCAATACTATTGGCAAAATGCCAGGGGCCATTCCGACTCGGCTGTGGCTCTCAGCAAGAAGAAGCCTGGCAGGTACAACAGAGATTGGGTGACTGTGGAAGAGGTTGAGGAGCACCTCTTCCTACCAAGACAGCTTGTGGGGAAGGAGGGGAGCAAACCGCACTAGATCTGTCTGGAGACCCGAGAGGGAGTCGGAGATTGACAGGCATTTCTGGAGTCAAGGCAGCTGGGAGGGAACTAATAGAGTAGTGGTAGCTGGAGATTACCTCAAGATCAGTCCAATTGAAGTTTGTGCAGATTTAAATACTTGTTGATCCCAGGTCAATTTGATTATCTCCAAAACGAGTGTGGTCCTCTTTCCCCTCCCCCCTTTCAATAAAGAGCACTACCACCCACCAAGCTTATCTAGGAGTCACACGGATTCTTCCCACTTGTCCACCCCCAAATCCAGTTCATTTGCAGGTAGGTATCCTCCATTCTCCCTTCAAATTTTGTCTCCATCTTCATTCCAGTCCTCTACAAATTCATAATCTTTTAATTGGAACCACTGAATCTAGGTGCAGAAGTTAGTAATTTTTTGGTGTTTGGATGGGTAATACATATAATGTGTATGAACCTCGGTGAGTGTCTAGGATAGTGCCATATAATCAGATACATTAATATTTTTTCAAAGAAACATGGATATTCATACAATGAAAAGTAGCCCTCATT